GTGGGTGGGTGGGAATCTTCATTTTGAGTGTATTATACTTCAAATTTTTGATATACAGTCAGTTGTTAAGTGATAGTTTTTGTCCAAACATAGTAGTAATTTGAAGGAGATGTTCTCTTGTGTTCCAGGATAGAAGGCTTTGGCAGCTTTTTCTTCTGCTGCTCCTGTTTTGTTGACTAAATTTCCCTTGTTCTGATCTTGCCTCTCCAGCTTCTCTTCTGTTTTGCTTGCCACCAAAGCTTTGAACAACCAGTGTATGTAGACTTGCTTTGATCTCAAAAATTCACCCAGGCTAAAATAGTTTTGGAAATAATAGCAAAGAGAAGCTGTGAAAGGGCTTTGTTGGAGCTATTGTTTATTTATAGGCTTTTGTTTTATTTTAGTGGAAGACATCCTGTTACGTGCTAATTAAGTATTTTAGAAACTGTGTAAATGTAAAAAGAATGAGAGGGAAGACTGACAATATTTGGAACACATTTAAGGTTAATTGGCTATGTCCTGCATTGTATTCTATAACTCCTGTATTCTTTCTAAAAACACACCCAAACAAACTAATATACTGGCATATATTCTTAATCTTGGTGCTAAGTGAGCTAATTTTTGGTCTGAGAATCACAGCAAGGAGCTCTTTACAATCTGTGCTTAGTTTATTTCCATTTTTGTCAGGATACACACTCGGTAAGCTTCTAGCCACCATCTGGTAATCTGTATGAGTAGACAGCCTTAGTGGCAGTAAACCAGGCTGTGTGTGCCCAAGCTGTGGGCAGGAGCTTAGTCAGAACATGCCAACACCTGTGCAGGAGACAATTCATATTCAGCTGTATCAGCTACTCAGCAATGATTTAGATTGCCTTAAATCTTATATCTTTTTGAAACAGTGACTTTCTGTTTCTTTGAAATAAAATGTTTGTTTTCTTAAATTATGAATATCAGAAAAGCTTTTCAATTGGAGATCTGGAGCTATAAATATTGTTCCTAATATTGCAAGTCTTGTTTCTATTACTTTAAAAAATCTTTTTACTAATTGAATTCCTTCATCATGAATTTCTTTTCGAAAGTAGGCTACTGTAATAAAGGTAGTGAGAGGAAAGAAGAAAAGGTAACCTTTTTGTTTCTCTTCCCCGCCAAATGTGTTTGAATATCATTTTAGTATGGCATTGGACTGTTCTACTCAATATATTAATGACAGAGCTGAGATTTGATTTTATTAGTGCTATCTTTTTGGTGAGTCTGCATGAACTCTAATTTGGCTATTTTTAGCTACACAAGTATGTGCCTGTGTTTTACGAGTCAGAGGTTGATCTACTTGTAGATTATATCGTCTTAATACACTTTAGCTGCACACTCAATACGTGTAAGCCATTTACCAATGGCTTTTAAGATTTTTGGTTTTTCTTCTCAAAATAGTGTCTATACATTTAGCAGCTATTAGTGTCTAAAGCTCTGCAAAGCTCTGCAAAATGTTTAAGTTCCCTGTTATTGAAGTTAGTAGGAGTAGGTGCCTAAGAATTTAAGACTTATATGCTCAGAATGGGTTAATAATATTGTCTAATAAATTTTCTAAGCATGCTAAAGAGGTAAATATCCAGCTTCTATTTAAAGTCAGCTATCATTATATAATGTTGTACTGCAAAGGGTAATTTTATGGTAATCTAGTATCTTAATAATCAGCTAAACAGCTGTAGTGGCTTGTTGCTACCAACAACATTCCAGTTTTCTGTCCCTGTTTTCTTTTCTCCTTTTATTCTTTGCAGAGAAGAATCCGTTTTTCTGGTGGTGGCTGTTTTCAGCGGGTTGAGTTAGGTGAACAGGATCACCGTGGGATCACAGTAATGCTGTTCCGTGCCAAGGAAAGTGAAGCTGCATTAACATGTGTGAGGGTACAGGATCATCTCTGGCTGCTATCTGTTAGATTAGCACGTTACATGAAATCTCTTTTTCATTTCCTATTTACTGTATAAGAGGTGACAGTTTTGGGGAGGAATCTCATGTTTGTGATGATTCTTACAGAATCCTAACAGCCTTTCTACATCTGAGACAGAACTCTGCTGAAGTTGTTGAGGAATGCGTAAGCTAATTGAACAACAGTTGAGAGTTTGTCTAGTTGTAAAGAGGACTTCATACCTGTATGTTTCTTCTAAAACTTTCTTCTGAATGTTACATGTTTAAGAGTTCTGTCTGCTCCTATTCAGATAACACTGTAAGATGTGCCTTGTTTGGGGTTTTTTGGTTTGAGAAAACCAAAATTCTAGTGTTATGATAAAGACTTACTGCTGTATGAATCGTTGCATTTTACCTTTCGATTGAAGTGTGCATACAAGCTATAAATACAGAGACTTTATATATCAGTGCAAAAAAGTGTATTGATTATATATTTAGACCTTCTGTTCAGTGTCTTTTCTATAGATATTTGAACTGCTGCTCTCAGCTGTTACTTTGAAGGTTACTTTTTGTGGTTGTTTGTCCCCCTCCTCCAGGAATATCCAGGTAATTCTGTGCTGTTTTATCCTCATGTCCTTTATGCCGTATTATAACTTAAAATTTTTAAGCCTTAAAATGAAAAAGGAGAAAAAAATCTGAAATTTTTAAATGTTGCTCTCTTGAGTTTCTATGATGATAGCAATTTGTCTTCTACTTTGTTCTTTACATTCTTTTTAGATTCTGAGTTAGAAAAGGAAATTTTTGGAGACAATGTACTCATCAATTTGATAGAAGCCTCCAAAAACTGTAATTAAGGCATTATTAAGGTCACAGGCAGACACAAATAGTGTGAGTTTGTATTAGCAGTAAAGCCTTGCATGAAAAAATCCCACGTAGCTTAATTTAGATGTGGAAATGTGGAGTTAGTGTCATGCTTCTAAAACACGTTTATGTAACCTGTTTTAATTATGCTCTTGCAGCATCTTTTGTCTTCCTCTTTTCGTGAAAATGTGGCCGTATGCCATGGAAGGTTTTTCCCACAGAAGTTGTCATCATCACTGTGTCTACTGGACATTGATGACAATACTGAAATACTTCAGGAATCAAATTGAACTTTCACTTCACTAGCAAGAAGGAAAAGACAGTACTATGACCTGACTCAAAAGATGAGGCATCAAAAAATTTGAATTTCTCTATAAGGTCTCTTGAGTGTAGTAATGTGTCCAACTTTCAGAAGGAGATTTGGCACCAATGAAAGGACTAGAAGTATTTTAGACTTGCCAGTCTTTCTGGATGGTGTATTGATAATAGAATATAGAGTAGGTGTTTGCATAAGATGTTTCTTGATTTTAAAATATGTCTTATTTTGAATGTTTTTGCTTCAAATAAATAAGATGTTGTTTTAAGAAGCTATTGGTCTGAAGATAATCCTGAGAGAACAGAATCAAAGATGCTGTAATCTTTTTATTGAAATTCATCACCTGTATATATTTAACGTAAAGTTTTTTCAACTCTGGAAAAAGGATAAGTATTTGTTTAATTGTGGGAATGATAGAAATAGAGAGGGGAACAATGTTTGATATGTTTTAGTGAGCATTATTTTATGCCGTTGAACTGCAATCCTGAATGTGTCCTTTGTTTTCCCCCATAGCACAAAAAAATTACTTCTATAATAGCTAAAAAATGGCCAGTATGATTCCAGTAAATTTCTGAGTCTGATCTGGAGGCAGAGTATTACAGAATTTTTCAGCAGTTAGGGGCTACAAGTTGGAGACTTTATTAGGATTTCCTTCAGGGCAAATGCAAAGGGTGTTCAGAGGCCGCCTGTTTATGGCTGAAACACTACAGGCCTTTTATCTGATGTGCAGTAATGGCTGTGATCACATAGAAAATATCTTTTAAAACATATTAAATGCCTTTAGTAACTGCAGTTCCTTTGAGTAAAAATTGTGTTGTTTTTTTTCCAATTTTAGTGTGTGAAAGCTCTTGTCAAATAGTGGCTTCAGTGCCTGCAGATTGAAGGCAGAAGTACAACAAAAAATTAAAGCATTTAAGGTGTTGGTGTGACAGCTGAAGATAGAAACGAAAGATAAAGGAGTGAAATGACAGGTGAGGAAGACAAGGCAGCTTTATGAGTAAGACAGCTGGATCTTTAGGGAGTTTGAAATAAAAAGGCAATTTGTAATGTAATGCAGAAACTAATGTAAGCTTGGGGAAGTATAGAGGAGAACCAGGTGATTGTGAATCTTGTGTTGCAGATGAAAAGTGAGCTGTAACAATTCTATGTTTGCTTGAATACCAACAAGTGGAAGTTTGCAATCATGTATTCTAGATCAGAAATGAAAAACTGAAGGAGACCTGCCAGCAGAAATAGATTTTTATACCCAGGTCCAAAAGGCATTTTCCAGAAATGCTATTTCTCTGAAATCATTCCTGTGCTTATGTTGTTGTTTTCACTCTAAGGACAATTTGAAATACATGCCAATTGGAGTAGGACTTAAAATGGGAAAAGTGGCAGTGCAGGTCTCTCTCTTTCTGCATAACTGGAATAGTTATGCTCCACATCATTTTCTGCATACCATATAAGCACCTAGGAATACATGGAAGGCAGAAAAAGAATAATAGAGTGAAAAGTTGGTAAGAACGTGGCAGATGACTATGAACTGCAACTAAACAGAGAATGAGGCAATGATACAGATCATAGATGATAAAAAATAAGAAGTTAGAAGATTATTATGGTTTAGAATTTCAGAGGACAAAAGTAGAGCCAAAAAACTGTAGTTAAATTTTTGTGTGGAAAGGTGTAGTGGAATTTTTGTGTTGTGAAATCAACAAAAAATGAGAGTGGACTTCTGATACAGGTAGAATGTTGGCAAAGCAAAGTTAATTTGCCTACTCCTATCCACTTGGGTTTACTGTAAAGAGGAATGTGTTAAGGTGGCTTGCTGTCTTAAAACTTTTACTAAAGTCATAGAGAAAGATGCTGAGAAGATGAGGTAGAAGATGGACACTTACTAAAACAAGTTATTTCATAATACAAGTGGGAGCGAATTTCAGATTGAGAATTGATTAATTACATTTTTGCATGGGTTATTCCAGTGGATAAGGGAGAATATGCTCAGGCATATTCAAAGGGCAGTTAGACATAATTTTATGGCCAGTGTGTCAGGGCTCAAGGGAGAGTTTGAACCTCTGTAGGTTCTCAAGAATAGGGAAAGTCACGAGAAAAAGCCTTTGCTAGAGGAATAGATGGAGGAAACAAAGGCAGTAGTTTCAGATACAAGGATAGTCAAAATAACAACTTGAGAGAGTGTGTTGCTAAAATGCTGGGAGATATATCCTGTTTGCACAATTTACTTATTTTATTTTTCTTTAATTTTGTATGTTGCTAGGTTCTGTATGCTCTACAGCAGAATTCTTTAGAGTGTCCATTTCTCAGCCTGTTTATTTCCCACTGGTGTCTCACTCCACTTAGATCCAGACTGTCTTTTTAGTTTTTCTAGAACTTTTTTATCTAGAGTTTATCTCCGTAAATTTCCTGTGAATTAGAATAGGGTGGTACAACCTGTGGTCAGAGAAATTTTTTTTTTCTGAGCACTGTTGGTTTTTATCTCTCTCTCCGTTGTAGATTTCTGGTATTGTCTTTTTAAGCATTAGGCTCAAAACTGCGGTAAGTGAATTCTGTGGAGTTTTACTCACTTGTATCTCATAACTGACCATACCTCTCCTCTGAGCCCACAGAGGAATACTGATTTATAGCACTCTTTAAAAATTAATAAAGCTAATGCCCACATTCTTCATACTCATCCTGTGCTGTAGCTGCTGATGAATGAAATTTGACATCTCCAATAAAAGCTTTGAAACTATTAAGGCAGTATCCAAGTGCCCAGATTTAGAATGAAATTGCAAGTTATCTTGGTTCTGTATGTGGATGGGCAGTTGTGAAGAATTAGTTTCAGATATTCCTTCTGACTTTGTCAGAGTGGACGGAACAGAAAGCTGCTGCGTATGAAAGGGTGTTCTACACTTTGAAGAGGAACACCAAAAAAGACAACTAGAATCTAGTTCCATTTTGAAATTGAGTTGGTTTTGAGGGGCTAATGGTAATAAAAAGCAATACAAACTGTTACTTGCATTCTTACTAAGGATATACAATTTTGAATACAAAAAAAGAACAGATTTATTGAGTAAACCATTGCTGTTTTTCAGAGTAAAACTCATTTTAGGCCCTCATGCCATCTGTCCTAACCCACATAAACAAGTTACTTTTCTATTGAGAGTACATGCACTAGGTTTCAAGAACTGAATAAACTCTTGCTGTTTTTGATATCCCATATGAAAGCTCAGTCTTTCAGTTTTGTAACTTAGGAGTCAGGTGGTAATAAACTAATTCCATTCTTTCATCTCCTTCTGTGCTAAGAAATTGTCTCACTGAGATTGTGCCAGCAATCTATGGATACTTCCAAAACTATCTTGAAGATGTGAAAAATGAGTTTAGTCCACCCCACCCTGCAATGAGCAGAGACACCTTCAACTAGATCAGGTTTAATTAAGGAGTTCTTTGCCATTGACCATGACAAAGGGAACAAAATATATCCCTGGTAGGACTGTTTACATAGCAGACAAAAGTAGAATAGGATTTAATAGGTAAAAATTGAATCTAAGGACATTCTGGCTTAGAAATGAAGTGTTGCTTTTTAACAGAGAATGTAGTTAGGCATTTCACAAATGTACTAGCAGTTACAGTAAGTTCTTCAGTCTTCAAAAAATGGACATTTTCTAAATAATGGCTTTTTTAAGCTACGTCTAGCTCAAATAGGAATTAATTCAAGGAAGTGCAGTGGCCTGGGTTTTATGTGGTCCAAAATCAATTACAGGCATTGTCTGGTCCGGCTTTATAATCTATATCTTAATGAATTTAGAACAGACTGACTTCCTTGCACCTCAAGGTGGTTTTTAGCAGTTTCAGTTTCACGGCTGGCATGTTTGTGAAGTCAGTCTGGCAGTACCTCCCCTACGTATTCTGTAGTATCCACTTCTTGCAGTGCTGAAAATATTTATGCTGAGTTACAGTGACAGATAATCAGCATTATCACTTGTTTGATATAGTACTTATTACTAACAACTAGAGTAATCAATTAATTAGCTTTCTATTATAAAGAATCCATTACTCTCCAGTATTGGCAAGTTGAGTGCTTTGTACCTGTATGTCAAAGTACTCTTACAGCTTTGTTTTCATTATTTATCATTATGCAGAGCTTGGAATAACAGTTACTACCTGTCCTGAAACTGAATCAGTATGATTAAATGCAAAGGGTAGCAATACGGACAGCATCTGTAAAGGATAATTGCAAATAAATCAATAACTAATGGTCCCTGAATGTGTTTACTAGTTCATTGTAGTGATATATGGACCTGTGTAAACCCTATGTGCCTTATAACAGTTATTGAGATGATTACAATATGTACTTTAGTCATGTGAAAAATTAGCATGTACTAGATACTGAGAATATAAATGCAATTTTGGAGGTTCCTGACAATGCCTTAAAAGTGGAGCATTAATTTCAGGAAAAATGAAACTTGTTTGTTAATATTTGGAAAGTTAATAAAAGAATGACAGAATTTAAAACTTATTTGAACATCTAGCGTCAATATTTGGAAATTGCTAGTGGTAGGAGAATCTTTAGGAGAAGATATATTTTTCTTTTATTAGAAGTGCAAGGTAGGATCATGTCAAACTAAGTAATCCAAAAAGTAATAGAGTTTTTCCACAGTGCAAGTGTTAGAAATAAAATCAAAATGAATTCAGATGAACTGTACTTTGGAACGTTTGTAAATGAATGTGTGTGATCTTCTATTAGCTTCTAAGGAATTTTGTTCTCTCTTTCAACACTGCTGTTTCCGTAAAGTTATCCTCTTGGACTCATGTAATGTTGGGGGGGGAAGGTTTGCTGCACTTTTTCACCCTCTATTTTGCACAGAATGCGTGGGGACAGTACTTACAACTCTGGGACTCTAACTATGTGTAATTGCTGCTGCTTAGCTTAAATAGACATTCTATGTAAAAAGTCTCTCTCAAATTGCTGGTAACTCTGGGAAAACTGCATGCAAA